CAGGGTGCCCAGGATCCCAGCCAGTAGGGTTGGGGATCTCTCCAGAGCAGGAGACTCCCCAGCCTCTCTGGGCAGCTGCTCCAGGCTTGGGCACCTCCTGGGTTCCAGTTTGTGCCCGTTGCCCTTTGTCCTGTCACTGGGCACCACTGACAAGAGCCAGGCCCCAACCTCTTGCCCCCTGCCCTTTAGATACTGGTAAGACCATCCCAGCTCACACCCAGGGGCCACCATGGAGCTGCGTGGAGCATGGCAGAGGTGGCTCCCAGGGAACAGTTATCCCAAGCCACATTCCTTGCTCCAGCCACAGGGCTGGCAGCCAGCACAGACCCCATTCCCCAGCACGGCTTCAGGCTCATCCCACACCGAGCACGGGGCTGCAAGGGCTGGGTCTGCACCCACATGGGTCTGCACCCACGTGTCCCTGTCCTGGCTGCTGCTAACAGAAGTGACGGTTAACCTAGCGACAGGACAAGGGGAAATGGCCTCAAGTTGCCCCAGGGGAGGTTGAGGTTGGCCCTGAGGAACAATTTCTTGCCCTGGAGGGTTGCCCAGGGCTGTGCCAGGCTGCCCAGGGCAGTGGTGGAGTCCCCACCCCTGGAGGGGTTCCCAAGCCGTGGAGATGTGGTGTGAGGGACACGGGGCAGTGGGGACCTGGCAGTGCTGGGGAACAGTTGGACTCCATGAGCTTAAAGGTCTCTTCCAAGCAGAATGATTCCCTGATTCCATGGTGGGAAGCATTAGCATGCAGGGGAGCACAGCAGGCAAACCCCTCGGGTCAGTGTTAGGGGGAGGCCGTGTGGAGCGGGGCTGGCGTGTGCTGCCTTGGCACAGGCACTGCCTCCCCACCCCCAGCTCCAGCCAGGCACCTCCACGTCACGTCTGAAGAAAGGCTCTGGATTATTGGTAATGGCTTGAGGTCCCCAGAGAGTCCTTCAGGCCATCTGCCACCCCCCCTGGGCTGCAGCACCTGCCCGGCTGGCTCCCAGAGGCACAGCCCCCGGTGCTGTTATTGCCCCCTGAGTCTGCTCTGTGCCCGGGATCCCGTTTGCCCGGAGCTGCTGCGGGTTGCACCAACAGGGGAACAAAGCAGCTCCTGTTACACCAGACTGTGAGAGACTCGCCGGGCCCTTCCCTCTTCCTGCACCCCTGGCACAAGCAGAGACACCCCCCAAGTGCTGGAGCTCTTGGTGGGGGAGCTGCTTTAATGGTGCTCCTTTCCCAATGCACTTTGTTCATCTTAAAGATATGTATTTTAGCTGAAAGGATTCCCCCCCAGTCCTGCAGGTCCTCGAGGGGCAGCCCAGCAAGGTGCTGACAAAGCAGCAAGGGCCCCTTCCCACAGAATCTCTCGTGCTCTGGTCCACGGGAGCGTTTCTCCTGCTCACGTAAAGCAGGAGCTCAGCAGATGGAGCCTCCAGCCAGGCTCTGCTTTTCAGCCCAGGATGCCCTTTCCATCTTTGCTAGAGTGACAAAAATTGATGAGGATGATTTCTCCCCTCTAATGGGTTTATTGTCTAACCCAAGCCCCAGGGATGTGGGGAGAGGCGATGCCAGTTCGAGGGATGGCAAAATGCACCCGCCTCACCCCGAGAGTGGCTTGACGCCAGGGGAAGGTGCCAGGGTGCCAGGATTGAGGTGTGAGGCCTTTTCAGGTTGTTTCCTGGGTCCCTACAATAAATACAGGGCACAGATGGGTGACGTGGTGCCAGGGGAGGGACACCTGGCCCTTTGCAGCAACAGGAGGAACCGGCTGCGAAGCGTTAGGAGTGAAAACAGCGGGCAGAGGATGCCACCAGCAGCACCTGAGGGGGACACTGCAAACCTGGGAATAAAACCTGACCCAGGCTATTGCTCCGGTGTAAAAACGACTTCCCTCTCCTGTCGGGCTGTCTGGAGAGATTTGTCTCCGCCTGGAAACGTTTGATGTGAATAATTTATGGGATGGGTTGCAAACCGGTGGCAGTTCACGACAACCTTTCGCGGGGCTGCATTTTCCTACGGGGTAATTATTTCCCTTCCTCAGCACCCTGCTCGTCCCCATTTCTCTTTCCACAGAACACTGTGCTTTAATGACGCTTCATGTTTAATTCCCGAGATGCAATTTTACCTCCACGGCGCAGACAATGGCCCCTGTGATCAGCACAAAGGGCAGAGCTGCCTGGTAACACGGGAGGGAGCAGAGGAACCGCGTCCTTCTGCCGCTGGGAATCGTCCTCTCTCCTCCCAACAGAGCACCATGGTTTTTGAGGAGGTCGTTCTGGGGTGGCTGGTGGGAGCAGGGTGCTCAGCAGGGTGCAGGCGCCTGTCCCGACCTTCACCCTGCTCTCCAGAGTGGGGCTGGGGGGCAGCAGGGGGCCGGAGCCCAGCACACGGACTGCGTCACGCTCCCCTCCTGCCCCAAGCGGTGCACCGGCTCCACGCTACAGAGTCTTACAAGAAACTATTG